CAAAGCTTTTAGCTCAGAGTTGACAGAAGAAATAAAGTTCACTGGGCCAATACTCAAAGAAAACCCATCGTTTTAATAGGAGCCAAACAAACAAAAAAAGAGGAAGAAGAGAGAAAAAGGCTTCATCCACTTCCTTTTCCCCTCAGTTTCCATCTAATGTAAGAGTTTGCGAAAACTTTTCTTAAGGAAGGGGTTTGGAGACCTCTGGGAGTCCTGCTCCTGAACACCTGAAGCTTCTGGCCCTATGGCTGGGAGCTGGCACTGACCTTGTCCCCACTGGGACACATGCTCTGTGCCAAGCTTAGCATGAACAGTGGATGGGCTTCCCTGCAGCCCTGGGCAACAGGCCCTCAAAACCCTTCTGGGAAAGTCCCCATCCTGCTCATTGAGTGAGCAAGATGAGTGACTCAATGGAATCTCATGGTGACTGACAGGCCCTTTGTTTCCAAGGTAGGGGCCACCAACTAATTATACCCTCTGCTTCAGCTTCCTTGGTACTTTAAGCTGCTTAGGAAGTTTTCCTGCTCTCTGCAGGAGATACTGTGACCTGCCACTCCCCCTGAGGGCCTGTTTCCTTCTCCATTCCTTTATAGTTTTATTTTGTATACAGAAGCATTTCATCCTCTGGGACTTTCTGGGTGTTTGCAGCCAAACAAATCTCGAATTGCCATCTTCCTCTTCTGGGGAGTTCCCTGCAGCATTGTGGGTGCCTCTGGGTTTATGTAATTGCTCATGCTGGTGGAGACAGGCCAGGAGTAAATCAAAGCTAGTGCTATGGATACCACCCTTAGGAGTGAAAGGTGTAATCAAAGTACTGCTTGCACCACTTGGGGGATTGAAAAGTGGATTTTAACTCCACCAGGTGGATGGTGTATTTGAGTGGGATGGAAAATTACTTATATTTTGTGCAGACCTGAGGTGCTTCCCATGTTCCACAATGATGTTTTGGCCATGGCTTCCAAGGGTAAAGTGTTGCTTCTCACCAGTTATGCAGATGGTATACCAGATGGCCAAGGATTTGTAACCCTTTGTGATTATGCAAGAAATTCCCTGAGCCTGGGCCCATCTCCTTCAGCTCTGCAGTGAAAAGATCCTTGTCCAGGGCTCACGTCTGTGCCTGGTTCATTTCTTCTCATGGGCAAGGGCTGAGCCTTCCTTATCCAAAACGCATGGGACCAGAAGTGCTCCACACTTTTCTCAGATTATGGAACATTTGCACATGTGTAGTGAAATACCTTGGAGAATTTTCATCCTGAAATTTTACTCTCTTTATTTTTGAGGCTACTTTAGTAAGTATACACGTGCATACAGATGTTTAGTCTTCCTGGGTGCCTGTTCTTTTATTGTGACCCTCTGTCTACCTAGCAATATTTTTTATCTTGTCTCTTTTGTCTGATGACAACATAGCTAGGTTGTTTAATATTTAGTAGTGTGCATGTATGTATGCATATGTGCATGTGTGTCTCTATGCATGTATGTATTTATTTTTGCAGTATGAGGAATCAAACTCAGAGCCTTTACACTCAGGTGCATCCACAGGGCCATTTTGTTTTAAAAATCTGAGACAGACGTGTGGCTGGAACTTGTGACTCTCCTGCTCCAGCCTCCCAAAGTGCCGGGATTGCGGGCCTGTGTCATCATGACCCACTTAGTTTTCCTTTATCTTTGTAATCGGTAGCTTGAAGGTTATTAGTTATTATTTAACTATGACATTATCTCCCATGAAATGTGGTGGATTCTTTCTGAAGTATAGTTCCTCTCTCCTCAGGTAGAGTCTTTTCTATGTGTCCCCTGTACTTGGTGTGTGTTACTGTCACAATGTAGGAAAAACACATTTCCTAATATTTTCAAGTGACACATTCTGTGGCATGGTGCCCGTTTTGTTGTGCTTTATTTCTGCAGTCCTGGAGATCAAACCCAGCATCTATGCTCCAAGCTGCACCCCCCATGTATAATTTAATAGAAAAATGGGTACCTAGATAAAGAGAGAGAAGATAAATGAAGAATTACTACATTCTTTTAAAAAGTGTTGATCTTAATAATTATTTTTACATGCCAGTTTGACAAAAGTGTAACAAAAATAAATCACGTTTGTTAATCCAACTGATACTGTAGATTGGCATTTAGGGAGAGGATTTTACTCAAATTTACTCAAACTAAAATCCCAGTTTACAATCCATCTACACTTTGGTTCAGTAATCACATTTAGCAATGCTGCCTTACAGAAAAGTGTATGAAAGTCATTAAAGCAAAGAAAGAAACTTGTGATAGTTTTGGTCCAAACAGAAAACCATGCAGGTTTCCTTACTTAGGTGACTGGTTAAATTCAACTGTGAATTATAAACAATGAAATAGATTAGTAAATTTTTGATATGAAAAATTGTTCCTAAAACTTTTATTTATATTTACATAAGTTTTTTTTTTTTTTTTTTTTTTTTTTTTTTTTTTTTTTTGAGACAGGGTCTCCCTGTGTAGTTCAGGCTGGCCTTGAGCTCACCATGTAGCCCAGGCTGGCCTCGAACTCTTGGCATCCTCCTGCCTCAGCCTCCTGAGTGCTGGGATCACAGGTGTGGGTCACCACATCCAGCTGACATATGTATTTTTTAAAATGAGCTAAGAAAACTAGGATACATTATTTTTTGGGAGACTGCCTGTATTCTTTTTCTACTTTTAATATTTCCTAATCATACATGTATTAATTCATGTATTTAGAATATCACAAGTTGTTACATGAGTCTCGGGCCTCTGAGTCTGTTTCCTTTATAACTCTTTGTCTCAAGAAAAAAGTCATCATAAATCAATAAAATGAAATAGAGAAAAACCCCTCCAAAATTTCTCGTTCGTTGTGGTATCGAGGTTTAACGTCAGGCACATTTTCTGCGCTGCACATTTCTGTTGGGGTAGAACTAGTTACAGAGCCACCCACCTGCCTGACCCTTTGACGACTGCTAAACTGTTACCTAAGTGACCAAAGTGATTTCAGGGGTGTCCCATTTCTGAGGCGCTCTTGACTTCTTTTCTAGTTTGAGTGTGATGAATCTTGTACCAGGCAGGTACTCGGGCTGTGGGATGTGTGCTGTTGCTGTTGGGTTTTAGTTGGAGAATTTCTTTATCATGCTGTATTTGCTGGCCAGGAAACACTTCCAAGCCCCACGTCCCAGAGGGTGCTGTCATCTGTCTCTGATCACAGCAGGGACTGAGCCATGCCTCTCCACTCCCTCTCTGTGTGGGTCATGATGGTCCTGGTCTCACCCACTCCCCTGGCCACAGGTGGGTCTGCCCATGGCAGGCAGGGGTGACAGTGGGTGGTGATGTGGCACAGGGGTTTTAAAGAGCAAAAGGTGGAAGAGACCAGAAATTCGTTGTCCTTCAAAGCATTGGAACCCAGAGTTATGAACTTAAAACAGCGGCTTCATTGTGGGCTAAGCCTCCTGGGTTGGCGGGTTTTTAGGTTTTTGAGCCTGTGTTTATTTATTTGATTTCCTCCCTCTTCTCTTTCCTTCTCTTCTTCCTTCTTTCTACTGGGGTTACCCACAGGGCCTTTACACTGAGCTACATCCTAGGCCCCCCTATTTTTTTAACTTTTCACTCATTTAATTATTTGCACTGGGAATTGAACTCACAACCTCGCACTTGCTAGGCAGGTGCTGTGCTGCTGAGCTATTTCAAATGGCCTTACTTTTTATTTATAGAGTCAGGGTCTCACCACATTTCCCAGGCCAGGTTTGAACTAGGAATCCTCCTGCCTCAGGCTTCCAGAGTGCTAGGACTTCAAGCCTGCACTGCCATGCTCAGTGACGCCTTTCTGATTTTGCGTTTGGCCGTCTACTTCTATGTTTCCAACAGGAGATGGTAATGAAATCAGTGAAGGTGACAGTTCATAAGAACAAATGAAGAACGCACGACAAACAGAAAAATGGAAGATTTTCTGTCAATTAGGTTTTCAGTGGTTGTGTGTCACAGGGAGTGTTTCCTTCTTAAATAACTGAGTTCTATATATCGATGGCGGTATTTTTCCTTTTAACTTTGAAAATCAGGGTTGTGCAAGTTATTGGGATCCTTTTGGTTAACTCTCTCAGCTGGTTTGTGTCAAGACACTGGACTCTTTTAATATTACTTTTCAGAGCTTATTCAAACTGGAAGAAAATAGTGGAAAGGAAACTGTTTATTCACAACACATTTTCCCAGCTGGATGTAGTGGCACATGTCTGTGATCCCAGCACTTGGGAGGCCGGGGCAGGGTGATCACAAGTTCCAGCCTCAAATCTACAACTTGTAATATCTTGTCTCACAATTTAAAATACTAAAAAGGGCTGAGTCTATGGCCCAGTGTGAAGGCTCTGGGTTCAATCCCCAGTACTGCCAAAAACCAAACATTTTCCCCTTGGAGGAAGAACGGGTATAGGGACCACAGCGAGGTGGTAGCTGTGATTCTTGATGGCAATCCTGAAAGCACTCACAAAGCAAGCGAAGAAAGAGGTGGGCACTTCCACGCAGGCTGGCAAGCCTGGTGTGGTGGTACATGCCTGTAACCCTGCACTCAGGAGGCTGAGTCAGGAGGAGCACTGCAAGTGTGAGACCAGCCTGGGCTACAGAGGGAGCCCAAGGCCAGCCTGAGCTGCATAGCGAGACCCTATGTCAAAAAGACAAAGCAGACAAACAAGCTAGCCAAAAACGTATTTGGGTGGGAACTTCAAGAATGTTAAAGGAATTAGAAAAAGAAAAGATAATTGAGTCACTGAAGTGTGGAAAAGATACATAAAGTTATTAATTTCTTTAAGAAATTAATTGTGTAAAAATCCAAATACAGGAAAAGTAAAGGAGCCGAAGCTGGGCCTGGAGGGAGGGAGGGAGGAGGCGACAGTGAGGATGTGGCCCTGGTGACCAGGACCTGGCCTTGTACGGGCTCCCTCCGTGGCTGCAGCAGGAGACACAGGGCAGGGTGACAGCAGCGAGGGTTTGCAGGTCACTCAAGTGCTGCATGTGGCTTTGCTTCGCAGGTCATTTCCCTCGCCGAGTTCTTCTGGCCCTGCATCTTGTTCACAATTCTGATGGTCCTTCGGTTTCAGGAGCCTCCCAGACACAGAGACAGCTGTAAGTGTCGTTCTGGATTCAACTCTTGAGTCTTGAGTCTTATGGTAAGAAGGAATGATCCTCGCCATGGTGGGGACTGCCTTGCATATTGCAGAAAAAGGCAAAATTGTATTATCAGAACCTTGTTCAGGAAGAGCAGAGAAGCTTTTAAAGTTTTCTATTGATTATTTTACTTAGTTTTCTATTATTTATTTGATTTGATTTGATTTTGTTTGTTTTATTTTAGTTTATTTATTCATTCAACAAGTGAGTACCAAGTGCCCTTATGTCCCAGCGTGAGGGTGAAGTGGTGGACTGGGTGTTTTCTCACCCATACAGAGCTTGTTGGTGGGACAGATTACAATGATACATCATGACAAGGACAGTAGGCATCATTCTGACACACCCCTAATGGAAGCGGTTGCAGAGCCTTGCTAGAGAAGTGTACCCTCTAGCTGGCTATGACATCCACACCTCTGTGATTGCCTATTCAAAGGTCCTGGGCCAAATGTATACTAAGGACTGCATTTATCCTTAGCTGAGAAGTCCACTCATTTATTTCCCATTCATTCTTTCATCTTTGCTCATTGATTCAATGATGTCACATGTAGTGGATATCTTCAGTATGCAAAGAGTTGAGCTAAACATTGGACATAGTGGTTCTTCAAGTCCTGTAGTATGAAATCATCTCTCAGATCAAGGTAGACACCAAGGGAGAGGCTGTCACCAGGGGGACATGGAGACCAGTGACTTCTCAGATGCTGCTGTTATCAAGATCTCCACTGTCCCCATCCACTGGTGTGTGTGTGTGTGTGTGTGTGTGTGTGTGTGTGTGTGTGTGTGTGTGTGACAGGCTTGTAGGCCTGGGACATGGGTCATCAGTGTTTCATCCAGGAAGCAAATCACTGTGACCATATCTCTCCTGCAAAGTCTTTGCTCCTAGCTAGTGTGGAACACATTTTGCATCTCATAAATATTTAGCAACTACGTTTAAACATTTAACAATCCAGTTGCACTGGACTTGAAACTTTTGCACGAACTTTAAAACCCCTAAATTTTCACCTGAGATGGGAAAGCGTCCATTCTTAGGCTTTTCACTCATGGCTGTGCCAGGCACTAAGATGTGCAACAGAGCTGTGGTCACTCCAGGGACAAGGAATAGCAAACCCATGGGCTGCACCTTCATTCACAGCCTCTCTGCCTGGAGTGTGAGTGCAGATGCAAGTAAGAGGTGTTACTATTATAGGCTTTTATTGTTTCTGGATGTTCCTCACTTACCTTTTAATAACAGATCAATAAAATCATGATTTGGTGCTATAAACTGATACTGTCCACTAGATGTCCACCTCTGACTCAGTAGCTACCAACTTCATGGCAGGGCATGGGACTCATTTCGCCCCTGCATTTGTTGCCAGGTTTCCTGCAGCCCCGGGATCTGCCCAGCCGGGGTGTCCTCCCCTTTGTCCAAAGTCTTCTTTGCAACACTGGCTCAACCTGCAGGAACGTCAGCTTTGAAGGGTACATGGACCACCATTTCCGGTAAGAGGGACAGACAGGCTGCTCAGAATTCCTGGGCAGCTGGTACCACCTTGGGCATCACAGGCTTGGCACAGCCTGAATGGTTTGGGATGGGTTAGGGTTTGTAGAAGATATAGAGTGCAGAGCTACAAAAATTGGTTTTATTAAGTTTACATTCAGTAATAGAGGCCCCCGCTAATTGTGAGTAAGATTTTCCACTGTATTTCAGAATTCATGGCACATATAGTGGTGGGCAAATGCCAGCTGTGTGTAATGGTTCATTTTCTCCAGATTAAACCTCTGACTTCAAAACTTCTCGCTTAGCCAATGTTTTATTTGGGAATTATTCATTTTGATTTGCCTCCTGGAGATTTTCTACTGTGCCATTGACCAGAAAACTTCCCAACCCAAGATCAAGGGAAAATAGTTGTCAATGACCTCCTTTTTTCCATACCACCATGGCGTGGTTTAGATCTAAAGTGTTCCTCCAAAGCCTCACATATTCAAGGTGGGGCTTTCAGATGTGAGTGGATCATGGGGTACTATATTCACCAGAGGACTGTCCATTGATGAGTTCAAGACTGAGTGTGCTACTAGAGGGGGCTGGTCAGAAGAGGTGAATAGATGCACGATGTGGAAGGGGCTATACCATTCCTCATCCTCCCTCTTCACTTTGCTTCCTGGCTGCTGTGAGTTGTGCAGCTTTCTTCTGCTATGCTCTTCTGCGATGCTGTTTGTGTCTGATAACTGATCAATCATGGACTGAACCCCTAAACTGTAAGTTAAAATTAATGTCTTCTTCCTTAAATTGTGAGTGCTGGGTATTTTGTTCTATCATTGGAAAGAGTAATTCATAAAGTTGACCTCAGAGAATTTGACATCAATGCTGTAACCATACCTGTTCATGTGATTGAAAAACACTTGGGACTGCTCTGTGAGGGGTCTTTTGAAAGGTTTGAAGAATCAGTCCTAAGAGGCTATAAGCAGTGTTTAACAGACAGTTCTCATCTTGGCTGAAGAGATCAAATAGGAATGCAGAACACAAAGGCCACACAGGTGGTTTCAGAAGAAAATGAGAACTTTCCTGAAAATTGAACTGGGAGTCCTGCTTATTTCATTCTGACAGAGAACTTATCTACATTTTATCCTTGTTTTGAAACTTCACAGAAGGCCATATTTAAAGGTGCCAAACTAATTAATCTGCAGTTCAAGGCAGCTCAACATTTAGGCTGTGGCCTAGGTATTGTTGGTTGCTTTGTGAGATGTATGGTAAAAAGCAGAATTAAAGATGTAAAAATTTTACAGCTTGGCCTGGAAAGAAAGCACTTACGAAGTTGTGGCCAAGGAAAGCATAGTTGCTAAAAACATTAGTAGCCATTCCATGAAATAGTGGATACTTGAATAATTATGTTGTCTCAAAATTTAGCTGCATTCCTACTCATTGTAGATTCAAGGGTGTAAAAGGGTAAACTCCTTTAAAAGACTTTGTTTCAAGAAGAGAGTCCCAGGAGTTCTTGGTTACTCATAACCGCTTAGTAAAGAGAGTTCTCCAGTTCAGCCATCCAGGCACTCAGTGGCTCCTGCAGCTTTGGTCCACAGGGTCCAGCCTATTTCTCCAGCTGGTGACAGATTTTGGTCTCATTCGCACGCTACTGGTTTTCAGGCATGCAAAATGCAAAAGTTATGTGATCAGAAAGGCTTCCACCCAGATTTCCAAGGAAGACCTGACAGGCCAGGTAGTATGCTCCTGAGATGGCTGTATACAAAGCTATGGAAGTAAAATTAAGCCAGGTGTTGTGGTGCTTACCTGTAGTCACAGACTCTGGGATGTCTAGGTTGGAGGATGGAAAAGTTGAGCCCAGCCTGAACAATGTACAGACTCAGTGAAAACCTGTTTCAAAAGAGATGATGAGTAGATGAGGATGGAGCTCAGTGTTCAATCCTTAGCATGCTCCCCCCAAAACAGGTAAAACTAAAGGTACACTGGAGACTCACATTTTGGAATTGAAGAAATGTAAAATATCTGCCACAGGAAGCAAGGTCTCGAAAACCCTTTGGAAGCTATATTTCACCACAGCCGGCTCAGTGTGCTGTACAGGAGGGATTAATGTTTGTTGTGCTGGGTTTCCATCTGATTTCTAGTGTCTTACTATTCCTGCCTTTTACAATGGAAATGTATTTAAATTTTGTATATTATCAATAAAATCATGCAAATATTAAAGTATAAGATTTTTGTCATTCAACTTTTAGTTATAAGTAGAAAATAAAAAATTTCCAGATAATTTTAGACACAGTATTTGTAAATGATGCTGATTTAGTCTATTTGGGTGTGTTGTGGTCAGGAGTTGTGTGGAGAACAACTAGAATCAGGACATGGAGTTTATAATATTATTTTTATAATGGTCACTGGGAGTTAACACAAGAAAATGTACAAAATCTATCTGCAACATCAAAGACATAGAATATTTAGTCAAGGGGCTAAATCCCACAGCAATATACCACATGAGTCCAGATGAAAACCCAGAGTTCATGACAATGCCTCCCAGGAGTCCAACTGGAGATCTAGAGCCCATAAGAAGGACGCACACCAGTCTCTTTTATGGATCCATGCCGGGAAGGCCCAAAGATCAGCAATGGAAGCCAGAAAGTCTATGCCAGTGTGGTGAAGGAGCTTTGCTGGTGGGATGATGGTTCTAAGCTGGAGCCGAGAAGTCACACTCACAACAAAGACCAGGGCTGTCCTGAAATGGAGACCCTGAGCTCCTCTGACAAGCACAATCAGGTACATGCCAGGAAGCCAGTGTGACAAGTTCATCTTGGAAACAAAGTGGCACATTCCTTCCCCTCCAGAGCCAGAAAGCAATGCTCGATGTGAGGAACAAAGCTTCTCCAGGAGAACCAATGGCTCAAACAGTAACTCATAGGAGAACCCACCTCAACAGAACACAATAGTGCATTAACAATAGCGTCAACACCTCAACAGAACACAATAGTGCATTAACACCCTCCTTCTCCTTCTCCACATCTCTATTTATGCTGACAACTTTCCTCAAGTGGAGCATCTACACTCAGTGCAGTACTCATGTAATCCAGCTGTCATTAAATTGACCACCAGTTCTTAATCCATAATCCAGGGTGCTTTAACAAAATGTCTTACACTGGGTGGCTGATAACATAGGAGTTTCATGATGTTGTTGTCATTTTGATTTTTCAGATAGGGCCTTGCTATGTAGTTCAGAGCTGGTGTTGAACTCACTATGTAGCCCAGGTTGGCCTCAAATCTGCAGTTATCCTCTTGCCTCAGCCTCCCTTATCCTGAGATTACAGGCCTGCACCACTATATCTGGCTTGGGTGGCTTCTAAGCAAGAAATGTTTACTTCTCACACTTCAGGAGAAATAGAAGCCCAAGATCAGAGCACCAGCAGATTCAGTGTCTGGTGATGACCCTTTTGCTATACATGGTAACTTCTAGATGCTTCCTAATGTGGTGGGAGGCTCAAGGGCCCTCTTTGGAGCTTTCTACTAATCTCATTCACCAAGATCCCTGCTCATGACTAGATGCCTCCTCCAGGCAAGGAGTACCCTCCCCAATGATGTTCTGAGGGTTGAACTCAGGGCCATCACAGTCAGCTACAACCTCTTTGTGTCTAGTAATGCCCAAGGATGAAATGGGAGAAATGAAAGATGCAATAGAGAAAGCAAGCAGTAAGGAGAAAAGAGGGAAGAGGGGAGGGAAAGAGAAGAACACAGGGGTCACTGTCCAGCTGGCCTCTGGCTTCAGACCTGGCCACTGGCACACAGGCATCTCTCACCCATTTACCATCAGTCAGCTGTGAATCTGATGAAAGTCCAAAATCCAAAACCCAAAGATAAGTACCCATTTCTGCTTATTTGGTGGTGATTGTCTCAGTTTAGAAATGTCTGAAAACAGACTTCCATTTCATGTCTAGTTCTACATTTTCATGCTTTGAATCCAGGAATGGTGTGGTATAAAGAGTCATAAGCAAGGGGAGATATACCTTGCCGACCCAAGAATAAACTAAGCTGAGAGAAACCAACTGGGAATGCAATCCTGGTGCTATAACAGGAACAGATAAAATCACAGCACAGAAGCTGGAACCAGCACCATTGGAAGCTGCGATTTGAATTCCTGCTACCACTGCTGCATCTGAATTGGCACAGCAGGGAGAGAGATGTGCAAAAAGTCTGAAAGCAGGAATCTGCAAATGCAGTTGAGAGCAGGACTGGCAGGGAGCCCTGCATTGACCTGCAGTGAATGAGAGGAGCAGGGACCCTTCTATAGATAAGGAGGCTCCAACAGAGGACATTCTGGGACCAGGCAGACTAGCTGGAACAGGATGATGCAGTGACTTTAGTCCCATATTCCCCTCTCAAGCAGGATTGGTGGGGAGTGCTTGGCCTGGGTGACGCCATGGACTAAGATCCAGTAGGCTAGGCCAAACCAGGTCCCAGCACCTGGTGGTGCACCCTAGCAGTGAAGCCTTTGTAGGTTGACCTACAGGGGTGGGCTCAGCTGAGACTGCCCAGGTCTGTGTCTCCCTAGTGCACTGCAGTGGGTAGGAACACATAGCAGGCAGATTCAAACAAACTGTAACCAACAAAGGAAAAAAAAAAACTGGGCCTCCTATATATATTTGTATGGAAGGAACAAAAAGTATGGGAAGAGGGAGCAACAAGAAAGGGTCCTCAGTCCCCAATTCTTAGAACACTGACCCAGGAAAGGTAAATGCAAAGGAGAATGAGGACAGAAAACATGTAATATCAGACACAGCATTAATACACATAAAGCAATATCTCTGGAGCCTCATAGACGAGTTCAAAAGTGAAGTATTTAATGAAATAAAGCAAGATATAAGTAGAATAGTTAGAGAAATGCTAAGGACTGCCCAAGAAAAAACAGATGGTGGAATGGAAGAACAGAGAAAAAGAGGAGAATTGTTTGATGGAGGAAATAGTGAAAACATACATGAAGCAGATTCAAAGAGATTACCAGGAAACTAAAAACTCTATTGAAAGCTGGAATAACAGCTTGAAAGAAACAGGATAAATTATCTGAACTGGAGGACAGATTTGTAAGGTGGGAGGATGAAATGAAAAACTTCTTAAAAATAACAAAGAAACAAACAGCAATAATACAAAGGCTAGAAGATGATAAGAGGATCTATAACTTAAGAATTAAGAACATAAAAGAAGAAGTAGGGACACAAACAGATGAACTACAAAAGCTATTCACAGAAATAATCCAGGAGAACTTCCATAATTTAGCAAAAGGTAAAGACACTCAGATGTATGAGGCATACAGGACCCCAGCCACCTACAACCCAAACAGAGCTACACCCAGGCATATAATAATCAAAATTCCAGAAATCCAATATAAGAACAGAATATTAAAAGTTGTCAGAGACAAGAAACAGATCACTTACAAGGGAACACCCATCAGAATTACAGCAGACTTCTCAGCACAAACCATCAAATCACAAAGAGCATGGGGGGAAATAACTCAAGCTTTGAAAGATAATAACCTCCAGCTAAGATTGATATATCCTGCACAACTGTCCCTAGAAATTGATGGAAAAATAAGGTGCTTCCAGGATAAAGAGGAACTAGGGGAATTTGCAACCACCAGTTCAACTCTACAGAGAACACTGCAGGACATTCTAAAAAAGAAAAATACCAAGATTCCAGAAACAGTGGCAGAGAGGCCACAATGAATGGAGCAGAAAGTGAAATGAAGAAGACAAACTGATAACTAATGACAGAAGAAAAGCTCAACAGAAATGAGGCAGAGAAGGTTAGACGGTAGGAACAGCTATTTTGGAGAAAACAAAACATCATAATAGCTAGTGCTGATTTAATATCCTCTTGTTTTGAAGTCCCATTAAGCTTTTGTTCTTCTGTCTCCATCGGTCTTAACATGTTGTATCTTATTGGATTTTATTATATGTGATAATATAAACAAAAACTTTTATAGACAAGGAAATTATACAGAAACCATTGTTCATTTTCTGTTAGTTGATTCTAAACACCCTGTAATACTGTCATTCCCTTGAATGGTTTTACATTTTTGATATGTTTGATGCTACAGTATACAAAGTTGTACTCAAAGATTTCAAGGAAAGAGACACTATGGTAAATACTTTTATGTCACGATTATCTTGTGGTGAAACACTATTTTGCTTAAATGGCTATGTTTTGACCTGCGCTGTTTTGTTGTGATGCTGTCTTTTATGTTAATTTCCTTTTTTATTATTTGCTTTTTTATTTTTATCCTTTTTATTAAGGAAAAAATAAATTAAAAATAGCAGGATATATTATAGTAACCCACTTTTATTTCCTATTAACTTTATTTGAAACCCTGTATTTCTCTCACCATCTTGTTTTGACTGATTTTCCTCTATTCTGTCTTGCTTGATAGTACCAAGTTCGAAAGTATAGGCAACAACTGTGAAGACAATAAGATTCATTATGACACCATTCTGGTTGACTATTATCTTTTCTTGAAGACCTGTAATGTCTCCAATGTTTTGGTTTTATTGGTTTTGTTCTACTGTTTTGTTCAATTTAATTATAACTGATGATATAGGCAATTCTTTATAAGATAGCAATGGTAACCATTGTTGATCACCTTGTATTTTGTTTTTACATTATGTATTAGGTCCATCCTTTTGATTTGATTTGACTCTGTTTTGTTATGTCACAAATGGTTTTACTCTCTTCAAAAAAAAATAATAAGAACTATGGGAGTAATAAAACCCAAAATGTGTAATTGTCATTGTACAAAAGAGAGGAAAAGAAAGTGCTCTAAAGGACATAATTGTATGTGTATTTAAGTGTATAAGATAGATAACCATATTACTGAGTTTTGTTGGATCATTGAACAGAACTGTTTGCAGTCTCACTGTTTGAATGTCCACTTTTTATGCTGTAATTTTGTAACTTGAACAACTATTTCTAAGATGACAATATGTAATCTATTAACGAATGATTTCCTACTGTTTATTTTTTCTAACATTCTGTATAACTTGTGCACTTTTTCTGCTTTTTTTTTCTTTTTCTCCTTAAATAAAATTAAACAAAAAAGAAAGAAAGAGAATTTCTTCACCCTTTTGCGTTTCCCTGTGACAGTTCACTGGGGACAGAAGCCCAGCTATCATCCATTGTGGGTTCCAATAATAGAAACCAACTTCCTCATTCCTCATTTTCTTAAGGAGCTTCCTCTTCATTGAATAAGAAGATTCCAGAACAAAACCAGGAATCCTTGCTGGCTACTGATGGAGAGGACATTCCCACAGAGTGCAGCAGATCATTCCTATTTTAGATGAAACAAATACCATGAAAGCAAATCTACCATGGATTCTCCTCTCTTGTGCTGCTGACTCTGCCCCGCACCACTCTCCATTGTCAGCTCACAGCCACATCTGGTCCCCTGTCCTGCTGCTCCCTCTCATTCTGCCTCCTTAGGAATTCTCTTCCAGCAGTTCTATCATTTCCAGCTGTCCCCATGTCTTGGTCATCAGTGTTCTTATTTCCCCTCTTCTGCATTCGCAGATGCACCCCTACCCCTGGGGGGGGGGTCCTCCTGGTCTCCTGCCTCTTTCTCCACCACCTCCTCCTTCTAGATCTTTTTAAATCGTCACCTGTGTCTCTCTAAATTTCAGCTTCCTAGTGTGCTTCTAGAACATTAGAAGATCTTCCAGACTTTGTAGACTCTGTGTTGTCACATCTGCCAAGCCAGGAGCAGCTAAGCCTCCTCCTTCCATCCAAAGTGGCCTTCACCCCAAACAGATGGAATTTGATCATTCTTAAAATGTTTTTGTGTGTTTGTGGTGTAGGATGAAACCCAGGCTTCTTGCCTGTGAGTCAGGTGCCCCACCACTGAACTGCACCCCATCAGTGAGCCTTGTCTCTTGAAAGGCTTCGTTGTGGGGTATGAATACTGGAGTGGTGAAGGATTTCGTCCTTGCTTCTGGCCCCATTCCTATGCCTGGGACCCTCACGTGGTGCCTAGAATCTCCAGCCCTTCCTCTACATCCACCACAGCTTCTGCAGCCTCTTTCTGGTTATTGTTCCTCTAAGCCTTTGGGGACCCAAGGTCTTTTAAAGTCTGTCTTCAGTACTGCCCAGTAACTCCTCATGGGGAGATGTGTGCCTCTGTACTCTGAAGAGTTAAAGGGGAAATAGAGAAATATCAGGAGAGGAAGAGATTAGAAGTAAGGTTGGTGGACAAAGGAGGATCATGCAAAGTTTGAGAAACTGATGAAGAAGACGGGGGTAAAAGACAAGGAAGAAATAAAAACAAGAACAGAGCAGAACAACAATAACAAAAAACCCTAGAAACCATGTTCGTGCTCATATGAAAACAAGAACAAACAAGAAAAAATAATGCAAAATCAAAAACAGGAAAAAAAAAGAAGAAAAGATGGAAAACATCTATCTCAAGGCTTAATTTGCTGGTGCTGGTAGACACCATGGGCAGACACAGGCCAGAGCCAAGTTGATTAAGCCCGGAAAGCCAGCTGTAGATTACGGTGGGGCAGTGGATAATCCCATCAAGCCTACACCTTTGACTCCACTGAAGTTCAAGCTGGTTTCTGGCTGCGAGGCAGAAACTTGACTTGTTCAGCCTGCAGCACTCCCTGAGCCTCCTCCTGGCTGACTTTGGCTTCTTGACTCCCTGATGACTTGAACTCGGCAGCCTCACCTTGATACTGGAGCTGCCAGATGGAATCAGCACTTGCTCTGAGTTCCAAGCTCCATTGACTCCCCCCTTCCAAGATGGCCCCTGCAATCACCCTCTCCTGGGGCTGTCTGATCCCTGATAACTTGCCGGGCCCTGCAGTCCACTGCATCTGTGACTCTGCTCCACAGGTACATTTCTCCATGGAGGCCTGCGGGTCTCCAGTGGTCACTATGCCCCAGCAGGTTTGAGCTGCCCCTCTTTGATGCTGCAGTGAGGCTGGGCTCAAGGAGAACGCACAGCCTGCCTCCCTCTTCTCTGTTGCAGTCTCTCTCTTCACTCTCCCCATGGGCTTCAGCTCTCACTTCAGGTCCTTGCTGGGTCCCAGGACCAACTTTCCTCTCCTTTTTCTCACACTGCTGTATTTTATTGTCTTCACATCAAATTGTGGAGAGGCTGTTTCTCGACAGCTCACCACTCCTCTGTCTTCCCAGATATCTGATCTGATCTACCTTTTGAAAAGCGGAAGTTTTTCTTTTTTTCTCTTCTCTTCCTTCCTTCTTTCTTTCCCTTTTCCTGTCCTATCTTTCCCCTCCTCTACCTCATCTCTCCTCTGTCCCTTGCCATCCTCCTTTCATCTCTCACTCCATCTTTACCTCTCTCTTAGGGATTGAATTCAGGGACTTTGCACTCAGCTGTATCCCCAGGCCTTTTTCTCTATTTACTTTTTTGAGACAAGGTCTGCATGAGTTTCCCAGGCTGGGCTCAAACTTGCCAACCTCCTGCTCAGCCTCCCAGAGGGTTAGAGTTAG